CCTTTTTGCCTCCGCCGTTTGTCGGGGGTTTAGGCTTTAGGGCCAATGCTCCAAGGTTGACAGCATGTTTTTTGTTTGTTGGGTGGTTGCCGATTTCTAGGATGTTTGTGTAAGTATCGTGCAAGGAGGAAGAGCGTATTGCCGTTTTTGCTTGCCGCTGCTTTACCTACGTGGGCCGCCAGATGCCGAAGGAAGCGTTTTAGTAGCTCTGATTTTGCATCCTCTGCCAGAGGCTTTGCATGTAGGAGTTTCTGAAAATTGCGGGCCATTTCCGGCCCTTATCGGTTTATGGCTCCTTTTAGGGATTATGTAGGCATTGTTGAAGAATTTCTTATACTAGTGCTAAGAAGATCTTCACCGCCAATTTTTCTGCATGTGCATTCTTATACCAGAGCCTGAAACATGTACTAAGATATCTTAATGTATACCCTAAACCCTAAACCCGCTAAGGCGGCATGGGTCATCTCTTGGTGCGTGAAATTCACCAAGTGGTGAAAGACAAGCGTGAGGGCAAGATTGAGAGGCAGGAGTTTCTACAAATTCCGGGGTCTGAGTATTTTTTTTAAATATTTTTTTGTGTTTTTTGAAGTCAGATTTTTTTTCATACAGCCTCCCGCCAGGCTTTGCAACAAGAAGATCCCAGTTCCAGCGCATCTGTGTAGATGCCAGGAGCTGGGAAACCTTGCTCTCTTGATGTTGCTGGTGCTCATGTGCATCTATGAGCCGATCTGGTGGTGTGTCGGTGACATGTACGGAAACTATCCGGGTGCCGGGTTGTTCACAACGATGTGTCCGGCAGCAACCGTCCTTAAAGACACTTACGTTGTCCTGGCGTGCGCCGCCATGATCTTGTATTGCATTCTCATCCTTGACCTCAGCATCGTTTCCATGCGTATCTCCGCATTCGTGCTGGTGTGCGGACGGGTCTTTGAGGAGGTGAGGTCCTTATCAACATTTGACTTTTTTTTGGGGGGGATCCTTATTTCATAATGTTGGTCTAGTCTAAGGCCCTACTAAACCCTGAGCCCTAAACTCTGGACCCCCAACCATAGCCCAGTGAAACCTCAGGTGGCGCTGTTCCTGGGGGCGGCGTCTTTTTTCATCCTCACCTTTGCGCTTGGCATCTGCACACTGAACAACCAGAGTGCAAGATTTGCTGGCACCTGGGTAGAGCAGATGTTTCGTTGTTGAGAGGTTACTATTGCTTCTTGTATAATTATGAGTATTTCTGTTACTATTATTGCTAGTACTGCAGTACTGCTCCTCCTCCTATTGCTGCTACAGCTGCTGCTACTACT